CCCCTCGCTCGTCTGTCAGTGTCTGCTACTGCGATTCCCTCTGTCTGGAATGCCTTCCTCCCGCATGTCAGTCCACCCTGCTGGCCCCTTCATTCCCACAGACCGTGCTCAGGCATCCCCTCCGGAGGCGCTCCCTCATCGTCTTCTTTACAAGTAAACCTCCGCTCACACCCCATGACTCTGCTTTACCTTTCTCCACAGCCCCTATTGCCATCCAACAAACTGTGTTTAACTTACTTATTTTATTCGTTGTCTCTCTGTACTAGAATGTAAGCTCACCTTGGGCAGGGACTGAGGCCTGTTTTATTTATTGCTAACTCCCTTGCCCCTAGAACAGATACGTAATAAATATTTGATGAATGAAGGATGGACTTTAAAAACCCGTACACACATATACAAACGCATATGTGTCTATTCCTAAATGTACATATCAAGGCTGCCACTGAGGGAGCACCAGCAATTAATACATCCCAGGCCCTGGAGGGGGCCTGTCTCAATTAATACATCCCAGGCCTGTATCAAGCCTGCACTCTGAGTGTCTCATTAAGTCTTTCAATGAGGCCGTGAGAAAAATGGACCACCCACATTATAAAATTGAGACTAAAGCTTGGAGTTTAAGGAGCAAGGAAAAGAAAAGTCGTAAGTTGTAAGACGTGCCCATTATTTTATGTATCAATGAGAAAGAAAAAATGGTGCCAACTAAAGTGTAACCTATTAGTTTAGATTGCACTTTAGTTTCAGAGAAATGAAAGTATAGGGGAAAAAATGTCAGGATCAGTAGAATCAGTCAAATGTAGTAGGTCAAACCAAAAACAAATTGACATCAGGTGTGTATTGTCAAGTAGGAGTGATAACTTATGGGATAATGACCTTTGGCTTCTGCCTAGTTCTTAGCAAGTCGTCCAGTGACCTTGAACACATAAAGAGGCTTTGTGAGTTCTTCAGGAGAGAAACAGAAAAATGGAACTGAAATATAATGATTCGTCACAGGCTGAGCACATCCAGGCACTTTATGTGATATCATTTAATCTTTCTAACAGGACAATAGCATTGTCTTCGTTTTGCAGACTCAGAAAGGTTAGGTAACTTGCCAAAAGTCAGTCAAAGGTGGTGTAGAGATTCCAACTCAGGTCCCTCTGATCACAGAGTCACTATGATTCCGAATCAGCAGAATGCAGTGTCTGTCTTGGAAACCCCTGTGACTGGATAAATCCCCAAATCAGCACTCAAAGCTTGAAATGCTCATGTTCTTAGGGAAAATTGACACTGGAGTGCAAGAACCATTTTTCCAGAAAGCTGGTCCTGGTTAGAGGAAGGAGAGGAGCTGGAAGGAGATCCCGGACCAAAGTCAGGAGGGGATGGTTTCAAATAGGAGGGGAATAGCTAAAAAGGGGAGGGCAGGGAACAGAGAAAGCATGCAGCACTCCCCCCACCACCCAGCAGTTGTGGAGGGAGCTCTTGGTGAGGATCGCCTCCCCCCACACAGGTCGTGGCATCAGCAGTAATGGCAGCAATATCTGCAAGTGGGCTAAAGACAGGCATATTTTAAAGCCTTAGGCCAGTTTAGCATCTTCCACCTGGACCGGGATTCAGATGCAGCCCTTTCAGATTTATTGCCTGCCCAGTGCATTCATTAGAAAAGAATTTGCACTGCGATGGGCCATTTGTCAAGAGCTCTTCTCCTGCCGAAAGAATACTTGAAGCCCGTGCTGAAAACCAACAGGGAGAGAGCTTGACAACTGGAGGGAGATGGGAGTCAAACTCTGTGTATTTAGTAGTTGTTTAAGACCCAAGTGCAGTGAAGGACAAGTTCCTGGCTTGCTAGCTTCTATTGTGAGTCTCCGTGGAGGAAACAATGACACTATGTAATTATTAACAGCAGCAAGCCAGGTCTTAAGCATACTGTGCACTATGGTGACACAAAATAGTAATTTAACAACATGACATATGGAGAGGAAATCTAGGTATGTAGATGGGGCTTGAAATCTTTGTATGCAAAATTTGTGATAGACAGGTAGTATTTAAATACACTGGCTTTAGAATGCTGACCGTCTTCCAGAGAGAAAGTCAGGATATTAGAGTGAATATCTAAATCTGGTCTCCGGCAGATTCATACAGGTTGTGTGACTTTGGCCAAGTTACCGAACCTCTGAGTCTTGGTTTCCTTTTATGTACAATGGGGATGATTAATATTAGTCTCACGTACATTGACAGCTAGTCTTTTTATGTCAAATGAGATCAAATCAGTGAAAGGATGCTGTAAACTATAAGAGAAACACAAATAATAGCTAATTAATTTCCTGAGAGGTTTTACTACCCCTATATGAAGAAAACTCCGTGTGTGTGTGTGTGTGTGTGTGTGTGTGTGTACGCGCACGCACGTATGCGCATGCCCCCACATCTCCAAGCAGCATACCTTGGGAGTTCAGCTTTTCTACGAAGTCACAGGAAATAATTTAGTTGGTAATCTTGGTCTCATCACCTTCCTCTCCTAGCACTGGGGAAGAAATGGAACTCTTCTCCCTAGAGCTTTCCTTTCAAAGTGTGTAACTGATGGGGAAGTCAGATGTAGACAGACTTGTAGAAGTTTCTCAAGATGATTCAGACAGCTCAGTGATTACATGTGTATGGCGTCCTCAATCTCTAGGGCCTCATCCATGTGGTTTCCATCCAGCTTGTTTTGGGTCTCATTCTCATGGTGGTTCATAATTCAGTAAAGGCCCACAATGCAATGACCACAATATTCAGAAGAGGAATGATGGTTGCCTACCACTCTACACATCCTCTCTAAAGCATAGACCTTTCCCCTTAACAGGGCCTTAAGCCTTAATGTCTTGAGTATTAGTTGACTTTGAAGGGAGAAGAGACAGTGACAGAAACCCAAATACCAGAATCCCAAGTAAAACTCTCCAGAACACTTTCCCTCCCCACTCTGCCCACTGGGATCTTCTTCTTGCTCAGGTTCCAGGGGGCAGTGTCTGGCAATTTCATGTACATGAAACCAGATTCTTGCATGACTTGGCTCCAGAAAGATGAGAAATTTTTGATAACTTTATCTATGTATTTTTGATAACTGATTTCTTTCCATATTGGTGCTTGCTAATTATTTATGCTACTGCTATTTGTGTAGCCTAAAAGATAACATTTGAATTATTGCCCTCTTTAGTTGTCTAGTTTCTGCCTTTTTAAGAAGATACTAGAATATAACCTAGCAGGCCAGGCAGGGATCTAGTCTTCATAATTCTCTTGGTGCAATGCTACATAAGTGCTGAATAAATGCTTTTTAATGATGCAGCAGCTGAAAGGGCTCCACACATTATCTTATTCATATTGAAGATATCCTGACAAAGTGAGCAATGTCTCACAGATGGAAAAACAAAAAGCAGAGAGGTGAAGTGACTTGCATGAGATCAGAAAGCAAATCAGAAATGGAGCCTTGACAAGTCTTCACACTCTTCAGTTTGGAGTACTAATGTTTATTCATCCATTCTAAAAAGCCACAACCTTAAATATCTGAGTTCTCCAGTCCTGCAAAATTTGGGTGTGACAGAAAGCACTTTATAAATTGTGCTGGAAGAAAAACAGCCCTAACAGTTGGCTAAGGTACATAACTGTCTATTTCGACCAAACATCAGAAAACCATTTTGCAAGCAAATACTACGTTATCATCTCCTCCAGACCATGATGGCAATGGCATAGTAGTAGTTACATGAGGCTTCCCACCTCTGGGACCCACGGTGCTTCATAAGGTAATTATCTCCAACACTGACCTGTTTGCTTGTACGAAGAACACCAAGTTGCCTTTTCTTCATCAGGAAATCGATGGCAAAGTATGCTCTACTCCCCAAAATCCCGAAGTGAGCCAAAACAACAGGCTGACCTCCAAAGTCATCTTATAACACACGACTCTGGACCCATCACCCCAGTCTTCCCTTACTACTCACATGCAATGCGGCTGACCACCCTGGCTACCACCACAAGGGGTGGAACAGAACAGGGGTTGGGAGGTTGGGAGCTCATGTACAAGGGAGTCTGGGAAGGTCATGCATTCTGTTTCAACCTTAAATCTAGAAGAATGCTGGATAACCAGGATTAGAGGCTCAGCCAGGGGGATTAGCAGTTCAAAAGAGAGTTCTAGAATGAAGATACAGATGTGTGACTCATTTGCATATCAGACAGTGGAGAGGAGACCAGAAATCATACTTTCTCATGTAGGCCTCTTGTGGCAAGTCAGGTTGATCAGAATAAAAACTTCATTTCCCAGCTCCCGGTTGTTGATGTCATTGAGAAGTGGAATTACAAAGCAGAAATAAACCAGGGCACCTGGGGTCTACTGCAGGAGTCAGTCAGCAGGCAGGAGGTTCAGGGTGGGAACCAAGCCTCACCATCTCTACCTGTCAAAGTGCCTACGGGTCTTTAAGACCGATCTCAAATGATACATCCAACTTGATATTTTCCTGATTTCTCCAGAGGTATTGTCTCCCGTCTTTAAACTCCCACAGGATTTTGTGTGTGCGCCTTTTATGAGATGCATCATAATCTGATTGGGGTTATGGATATCTATAAATAAACTAGAATATATTTGTGTATTATCGTTTACTCAATAATGATTTATTGAGCTCTTGCTATGCACTTCAGACTCTTAAATAATAAGAGTATATATAAGTTTCTTGAGGGATGGAACCATGATTTATTCATTTGCTAAGATTTATACATTTTCATTCTAATGTACATAGGATACTATTGAATTCAAATCCAACAGCACTGGCAAAACAACTCAGTAAGAGGCAGGATAATGGAGGACTTCAGAGCAGGAATCTTAGCGTCAGGGAGATCCAGTTCAAACTCTACATTAACACCTCTGTAGCTTTATGGCCTTGGGCAAGCAGCTTAGCTTATCAGCAGGTGGGTCTGTAGGGTCATCCACCACAGGAAGGACGATGAATGTTACATCACAAGGAACCCACTATTGACACACTTAATCAGCAGCTATGGGGGACTTAGTCAAAATGGCCAGGTTAGGGTCCTCTTCTTAGGATCAGAAGGCACTACTGACCACCAGCATTCTTTCCAACCAGGCAGTTCCATCCAGGAACAGATATCCTTGCTGGTAACTGGTAGGTGCTATATTTTCTACACCTCAATGGAGCTGGGAGTCCCCAAGAAATAAACCTCAGCAGTTGGTTAGACTTGGCTGCTTCATCTCCCTTTACCCCAAAATCCCAGCTGAAAACAGGGGCTCAAACCCTTATGTTTGGACCCATTCACTCTACAGTTTCTTTTGGAGGTGTGACTCCCCATTAAGACATCCTGATGCAGACAACATTGTCCAGTACACTATGCGTCTTGCAGAGCCAAGTAGGATATCCCTGTCCTTGAACAATCAAGGATTTAAAAATGAAGTACCTGCTGAGCCGTTCATCAGCATTTATGTGCATGTCCATTCCAGTATGTAAAGATTGTGACATTTCAGATCCCAGTGTTTATGGTCCATTAAAAAGCAATGTTTCCTTTAAATGGAGAGGTAGTGCATCGCTCCTTCATCCTTACTCCAGTGGGCACCTCCCCCTGCTCAACTCCTTTGCAGGTTCATTTCCAATAGGTTTATGTAACAGAACAGCTGAACCATGTATCAAAGGGGCTCTGGGTGCGGCTGCTGAAGCAGCATTTCACTTGCAGCTTTCCAGTGAATGAGAAAGTACTCCTCATTTGAGAGCTGCCTGCCGCTCAGGACAACTCATTGTCCCTTATGTTCAGATTGCTTGCTTAATTCAGGGCTTGGGATGAGACGTGAGCTGGCCGTTTGGTTGCATGAGATGCACACTAAAGGGCACGACAGGGTACCATAAATGATCCATCCAAAAATCTATTGGTGCCCATAGTCATGTCCATGTCAAAGACTTGGGCCCTGGAATATTAATATTTACATTGTGCTTTTCCTCTTACAAAATACTTTCTAATTCCCTAGCATCGAATCCTCACAACTGCATGAAAGCATTATTCTTGTTCTTATTATTACCATTCATTCCCACTACAAATTGAAGCAGCCAAGGATCTGCACGTCAGAGGTTAAGCGTCACGTTCAAGATCACAAAGCCAGTGAATGGCTGAGCTGGGACTCCAACTCCAAGTTCTCTGACTCAAATCCAGTGACTTTCTCAACACAAACTTTCTGAATACAAATGGTTGTCCTATGAACGGCTGTGTATTAAGAAGGGCCACCAGCCCACTGATTTATTCACTATTCAGTTTATACTTGGACATGGTAAGACATCACAAGTTTTTTCAAATAACAGGGTTTTTTAAAAAAAGTTTTTATTTCAAATGTTTATGGTAGAAAATTTAGAAGAATCATAAATAATGAAATAAAATAATTTGTAATTTTGTTCCCTGAATTGGCTTATCATTAACACTCTAATGTATACCTATTAGACCTTCCAGGGTATAGTATATCCTGTCTACACTTACATGAGATGTAAATAGTTTATATGTCTCATAAAATTTGGGACCATATTGTAGATAACTGTCTACATTTGTTCATTTAGCAGTGAAGTTGAACATCTTTATGTGCCATTAACTGTCCTTCTAGGTTATCATTTAAATGGCTACATGGTGTTCCATTGCATGGATGCATCCTAACTTATTTACCCAGCCCTCTGGTGATTGAAAAATAGAGGAGAGAAATTAAATTATCCCAGGTTTAGCCCCATTACAAATAAGACTACAACGAACACACTTGTAAGTAATCCTTGTGTATTTCTGACTATTTCCATAGGATAAAATCCTGTGGACTTGTTGAACCAAAAGAAAGGAGCATTTTGAAGCCTTTGAGCATTTTGTCAAATGACCCTCCAAGGTGAGTGGAACTTCTGCACTGCCATCAACTGTATCTGAAAATGTCCAACTTCCCAACATTCTTGACAAGACTTTCACTGCTGATGTTTATTCTGAACCAACTGCCTGGCATCCTTTGGGGCCTCCTTGCCCAACTGCCCAGCAGGCCCTGGCAACTCTGCCTCCCAAGCATTCACATTCATCCCACTGGCCAAATTCTGCCCATTCATCTCACCTCCACTGCTGGCACCTGGTGCCAGCCTCTATTCTCTTACCCAACTGGCCTCCCAACCAGTTTCTCATTCCCTCCCAACTCCCTTTTCTAATCCACAGGCAGAATGATGATATCCTAAAAATAAAAAAGACACGTCAACCTCCCTACCAGTCATGATCTAGCGCTCCCCTCCCCCTGCTGCCAACCCTTTGACCAGCTCACCTGCACCCTCCTGGTCATTCACTGTGTGCCAGCCTTGCTCTTCTGTTTTTGACACATGCCAAAGTTGTCCTGCCTCTGGGCCTTTGTACTTGCAATGCCCTCCCCCGGAAGGCTCTTTCTTTCTTTGCAAACCTAGCTCCTTCTTGTCTTCCAGGTCCCAGAGGTCACCTCCCTGACCACTAGCTTAAAGTAACCCCCGCCCGCAGCACAGTTACCACAAAACTCTGCTTGTTTCTCTTTAATTTCTTTTTCATAGCACCTACCATAATATGAAGCTCTCTCATTTACTTGCTTACACCTACATTTTCTGTCTCTCCTCTCTTCTTGCCCTCATATGCACAGAGAATGTAAACTCTGGCTCAGCACAGCATCATTAGTGCCTGTCAAAGTGCCTCGCATATAGTTCATCCTCGATAAATACGTGTTGAACAGATGAATGCACAGGAAAAAGGAAATAATTTTAGTATTGCGCTAACCAAGCATAATACTCAAGCTAAATCTAATGTAAAACTTACCGCCAGCTGCCTTCCGGAAACAAGTAAAAAAAAAAGACAAGAGACACCACGAACAATGGTGAGTCCAGACTGGTCAGTAACTCCAGATCCCAAAGCTCCAGCTGAAGATGCCTCTCCTACATCAGACTGATCTAGGAGAACCCAACCTAACATCAGCACCCCTTCACACCTACCTAGTATCAGCACCCCTTCACACCTAGTGTCAGCACCCCTTCACACCTAGTATCAGCACCCCTTGACACCTAGTGTCAGTACCTCTTCACACCGCACCCCTTCACACCTAGTATCAGCACCCCTTCACACCTAGTGTCAGCACCCCTTCACACCTAGTACCAGCACCCCTTCACACCTAGTGTCAGCACCTCTTCACACCTAGTATCAGCACCCCTCTGCCCACAGGAGGGCAGAGGCAATGCTTGAACCAGTTCCCTATGCCTGAGCCTTACCAGGGAGCCAGCACTGTAGCTGGTGTATCACATGCATTAGCATGCACAGGCCTCACAACTCTGCAGTATCATCATTCCCACTGGTACAGATAAGGAAACTGAGGTTCAGAGAGCTATGAATTAAGCTCAGCTCACAGGAGTTGAGCAGAGGGAGCTATGAATTGTGTCAGTATTCCAACACATATCTATCTGACTCTATATATGTGCTTTCTGTACAATTGCCCAGGGACCCCACAGCACTGCCAGTTGGAGAACGAGGAAGCCCAGATGCCGGTCCCTGACCACTTCCACCGTCTTTTGCTGTCTCTGGATGCAGCATGCAAAGAACCATTTCCCTCAGCGTCTGAGGAAGAGGAAATCCTTTCTACCATGGAGAGCAGCTTGGGTTCTCATGACAACTTCAATGTCAGAGAGGTGAACCAACATCAGAGAGTGCTCTTCAAGGACTGCCTCCCTCCTGGGCCCTCCTCTGCCTGGGTTACAGGCCTCTAGATCCCACCAAAAGCTGCTTGTACTTCCTTACTCTCCCAGCGCCTCTCCTGACACCTGGCCTCTGAAATTCTTTCCACATATAAGGGTGCTCTCAGTGTGTGTGAAAGCAAGTGTTTCCAGGGTTTCAGGTGCTCCACAGAGAAACTTTCATAGTCATTCAAAAAGATTAGCTTCTCTCTCTAATTCACATAATCACAAGGGATAAAGCCTCACAGGTTATGGGCTGGAGCTTCTTCCTCTGAGGGTCTAACAGGAAAAGTTGGACAAGTATATATTTGTTCTTTTCTACTTACAGCCCAGAAGAGTGGCACAGTACCCAAGAATACTTCATTCTGTATTTTTTTTTAAATAAATAGACAAAGTAAAACACTTGGTTTCTAGTTGGCCAGGTAAAATGAGAAAGGAGCATTTCCAGGGTTGAGTTGGCAGCCCTATCTGTTGGTCTCTCCACTTCAGTGAGGTCCTCTGAATGGTAAATGAATGAAGGCAGAAGAGCGGTGAAGAGCTTTTTCTGACCTCACACCAAAAAATAACAGGAGAGTCAGGAAGGAAACAGGTGGAAGCCCGAAGGGATAGGAGCAATGTGAAAAGTGGAGTAGGTCTGTGAGTTCCTTCCCCAAATTCCTGCATGGCCAGTTAGCCCAGAAATGCACCAGGGCAGAGCTCCACAAAGCGGGAGAAGCATCCAGCAGCCACGGCGCTTATGACCCTCATAAAAGGGACAGCAGTTCTGGAGATGGGACTCTATCTGGCTGATTTTTAGATCCTACAGTCAGATACATATTTGCTGATCTAACTCGGCATTGGTTCATACGCAGCCCTTCCCTTCCACATGTCAAACACAGAAATGCACATCCCAGATTTACAAACTGACAGTTTCCCATTCCTGCGCCGAGTGCCTTGGCTTAACTTGAAAGGCATTTCAGAGGCTAAACTATTGAGACAGATTCAACGTGTACAGTGACACTCAGGCTGCTAGATACCGACTAGTCAGCCCTTGACCAGCAGCTGCCAGATGATTAAAAACCACAGCGAAATGATCAGATCCCTACGTGCAACCTGCAACTGATTTCAGGACCTCTCTGTTTTGTATTTTCTGTTGTTCTAACAAAAAAAAAGGATCTTTTTAAATCTATTTCACATATTACAGTAGCCCGGACATCAAATGTTTCCCAGAGTGAAATTAAATATAGCATTTTATTTGGAACAAGCCAGTCTAACTCAATTTTCCTCCCCGGCGTTGCCACAGAGAGACCTTCCATTTGGCAACTGAAAGATGTGCTGAGCTCTAGGCTGGACGTAAGACTTCTTTCCATGCTCTTGGTAACCCATCTGCTTCCTCTGCCCCAGTACAAGCACTACAGGAATAAAAAAAGGAGTTTTGCCCCTCTGCCCCATGCACTGCCTTGAGGGAAAACATCCCTGTCTTTCCAGCACAGCCTATCCAAGCTCCTGCAGAATATGGTGCTTCACCACCAGAAATTAACTTCCTGAAGGAAAGTCAATGAGTTTGCCAAAAAGCAGGTTTCCCTCTTTGGAGGGAGCTGGTCATATCTGGGATATTGTTGCACGTTGCTGATGATTAACCTGCAGGAGCCTCGTTGTCAATAAACATTTACTGGACGTCCACTGAGGGCTCTGCATCATCCCAGGGAGTGAGAGGCTATGGAGAAGCAAAGGATGCTATAGTAGGGAGGTGGGAGGAACCCAGAGACCCCAAAACCCAATGTGCTCACTTTGTAAATGTAGTAACGGAGACCTAGAAAGAACCTGGTGTTGCCAAGGTCACAGCACCATGTGGTAGCCCTGGCGACTTCCTGAATCTCAGATCAGGGCTTCTCTGAAGCTCGCTCCTAAGTTAGACAGGGGGTGTAAGTGGAGACTGAATATCTATCTCAAGTCCATAGAAGTGTCCGTGGAAGTCTCCAGTGACTCCGCAGTTACAGCTCCCATTTCCCGAGGGCCTGAGCAGGGACCTGGCACCTAAGTTATCTCTAACTTCCCAAACAAGCCTGAAATAAGGACACTTGGGCTCAGAATGAGGCCCAAGGTCACACCGATCGTGAACGTGACAGGTGCAATTTGAACCCAGTACTGTTTGATTCCAAAGCTGGCTATATGGATATGTTAGGATGCCTACCTACCACGTCACCTGACTTACTCCACCCTTGAGATGGAACCATCTCTGTAAAGAAACAAGGATTAAACCAAATCAAGTACAAATGAAAACTCAGATTGCAAGCCATCATAGAAAGTAACATTCAGTGTGTGTATGTATTTGCATGATTAAGCACACACAGAGAAAGAATACATCTAGATACCAAGTGGTAATTTTTAAATTTTCTCCTGTATAAATTTGTTTTTCTAAAATATTAAAATAGATGATTCTCATTGATCTGAAATTAATTTTTTAGGTTGTGGTAAAATATATACATGTAACATAAATTTTACAATCCTAACCATTTTTAAGTGTACAATTTAGTAGCATTAAAAACATTTACATTGTTGTTTAACCATCACCTCCATCCATCTCCAGAACACTTTGCTATTCTTGAAAAACTGAAATCCGGTACCCATTAAACAACAGCTCCATATTTCCTCCTCCACCAGCCCCTGGCAACCACCATTCTACTTCTGTCTCTATAAATTTGTCTCTTCTGGGTACCTCATACAAGTGGAATCATACTATACTTCTCCTTTTGTGTCTGGCTTATTTTATTTAGCATAGTGTTCTCAAGGTTCATCCATGTTGTCGCATGTATCAGATTTTCCATCCTTTTTAAGGCCGAATGATATTCCATTGTATGTATATACCCCATCCTGTTTATCCATTTATCCATGGATGAATACTTGCATTGCATCTGCTTTTTGGCCATTATGAATAATGTTGATGTGAACATGGGCAAACAAATATTTCCGAAAGTCCCTAGACTTTTTAAATCCTGGAGTATACTTTTAGAATGTGCCACTGTGAATTAAAATCAGGATAGGCTTTCTATTGGTGTCAGCTTGGAAAACAGCAAATTCTGTGCTGGAGTCTACACATTTTGCCTTCTGTCTTTAAACACCTCTAAACCAGTGGTTCTCAACCCTGGCTGCATATTAGAATCACCTAGGGGTGCTTTTAAAAAATGCTGATGACCCAGCCCTATGAAACCCACTGAATCAGAACTCCTCTGAGTTGAGGCAGAGGAATTGAGTATTTTTAAAAGGCTGCCCAGATTATTCTACTGTCCAGACAAGAGTAAGAATCAGTGTCCTGAAGCCTCTTCTTCTGCGGGCCCTTGCCTTTATTTAAGAAATCTCTGCCTTATGAGTAATTCCTCTTCTTTCCTCCCATCAAAGCCCAGAAGGGTTTGATAACCAGTCAATTGCCCTAGTTGTTTGACTGACTGCATTTCAACTGAAACATTCGCTCCACGGCCTTACCTCCTCCAGTTGAAGCCTTTTATCTCTAATTGTGGACTGCGTGCCTGCTTCTTTCTTGGAAGGAATGTTGATATGAGTAAGCAGTTAGGGAAGTATTTCCAGGCCTACTCCGTCCTTCAGGTATTATAATCTAGTCCTTTCAAGGCAGTAGGGACAATAAGAGGGGCCAGAAGATGTGGTCCCAGTCCATATCCAGTGCCCGACTAAGGCACTGAGCCTGCTCAAGAGGCCCCTCCCCATGCTCACATTTCATCCCTAAGCCCTGGCCTCCCCCTCGCTCTTGCCCGAGACTCCCAGCTACTTAATTGGCATGCCCCAGGGACCTTTGGTGGTTCTGCCCAGTTCTGTCTTTGCTAATTTTCGTCTGTGATGGGGTTCCCTCCTCTAACACCCTAGGACACATCTCTGCTGCGTGTGCTTTCTCTCTGGTTCTTGTGTTCTTGACAGCAGAGCACGTTAACTGATGGGCAGCACAGTGACTTGGAGAACAGGACGAGTTCCACAAGCATCTTTGTCAGAAATGTCACAACCACGGCCGACGTGACACTGGCAGCAGCAGGGCATATTCTAGGACACAGATTCACCATCAGCTGCTCCCCAGGCAGGCAGGCCTGGGGCTCCAGGGCCCTTCAACTCACCTTGGGGCTCTTCTGCCTCTTTGCAAAGAGCCCTCCAAACAGGGTATTGGGAGCTGAAGCCATGGCAGCAGCTCCAAGGACTGGCCCGTTTGGGAGAGAACATGGTCCTTCCCTCTGCCAGGCCTACCTTGGAGCC